CAGTGGGCTGGCTAGTTTTGTTTGTTTGTTTGTTTTAGGGGTTTCCCCCCCGAGATAGGGTTTCTCTATGTAGTTTTGGTGCCTGTCCTGGATCTCGCTCTGTAGACCAGGCTGGCCTCGAACTCACGGAGATCCACCTGGCTCTGCCTCCCGAGTGCTGGGATTAAAGGTGTGTGCCACCACTGCCTGGCTAGCTGGCTAGTTTTCTGTCAACTTGACACAAGCGGAGTCATCAGAGAGGAGGGAGCCTCAGCTGAGAAGACGCCACCCTAAGATCAGGCTGTAGGACATTTTCTTAATTAGTGATTGATGGGAGAGGGCCCAGCTCATGGTGGGCAGTACCAACCCTCGGCTGGTGGTCCTGGGTTCTATAAGAAGGCAGACTGAGCAAGCCATGGGGAACAAGCCAGTAAGCAGCATCCCTCCATGGCCTCTGCATCAGCTCCTGCCTCCAGGTTCCTGCCCTGACTTTTTAAGTGATGGACTACAACGTGGACGTGTAAGTCAAATAAACCCTTTCCTCCCCAAGTTGCTTTTGGTCATGGTGTCTCATGACAGCAATAGTAACCCTGACTAGGACACTTAGTTAAAATGCTCAGAAAGTACCCTCCCAGACACAGCCGGGTATGCATCCGAGGTGACTCCAGCCAGGCAGATGGCGAAGATGAACCCTCACAGGGTCCTAACTCCAGAGTTAGCTGGGCGCCTCGGGTAAAGTTGCTTAACCTCTCTGGCCCCAGTTGCCTCATCTGCAAAAGCACTGAGAAGGCAGTGGAGCTGCCTAAGTCTCCTCGCACTGTTCCTGCTCCCTCTGTGCTGTGTCTCTGGGCGGCCAGGACTCCCACAAGAGCGGCTTCGCCCCCTCGCTGGTCTTCACAGCGAGACGACTGGCCATGCAGAATGAGCAGGGGCTGTGGAGTTGGCAGACCACAGACCCGGGAAGGAGTGGAGCCCGGTTTTCTGAACCCCATTGCTGAGGGCCGGCTGTGCCCTAGGCTCATCCCAGCTGTGACCTGGGTGAGCGAGCGGCTTCTGAGTGGAGCTCGGTCCTCTCCACCGGCTTCTGCGAGAGCTCAGGGTTTGCCGCTTCAGGCCGGCGTCGGCTGGGTGAGTAAAGACCCAAGCAACACGGCGGCCTCTGAAACGGATCAGCAAGATCCAATGGTGATGTCAGAGAGTTTCTCAGAGCAAGATCAGACAACACCTCCGAGCTACGTTCATGGAACGAGTCGCCGCTCATACGTCACTGTCACTCGAAGCACGGCCTCTAAAAATAGAATTTGCTCTAATTTTGGGTGTAGCTGAGGCGAAAGGAAAGAATGTGGGAGAGCGGAGAGGACCGTGTCCAGCCGTGAGTAGTTCCCTTTGATGGCATTGTTCTAGTACAAGGAGGAAACTTGCCTTCAGACTATCCTGGTGCCAGAGGACTGTGGAGTTAGCTACAGCCGGGACAAAGCTCAGGCCCTGCCACCTGCCAGCTGGGCAGCCTTGGGGAAATCAATTAACCTCTCTGGGCTTCCGTCTTCTAAAAATAGGGATAATCGTTCCCAGCTCCTGAGGGTTGCGTGCAGATTGAGTGGCATCTGTGAACAGTTTGCCACGCTGCTGACTGTGCATGCATTAGGCACACTGTGTGACCTGTGGTCAGAGTGATGCTGGGTGGCGGTTGGCAGCCCAGGCGAGTGATGGAACTGCCCTGGAATGCCGGCACATTCAGAGATTCCGGCGAGATGCTTCTGTTTTGATTTATTTTCAGGCCCAGGGCAAGTGGTGCACGTGACATTGTTGTGTATGAAAAAGAGACTATGGTGTTGGTGCGGTAGGCATCTGTGACTATATCATCCAGTGCTATCATCCCAGAGGCTGAGGCAGGAGGATGGAGAGTTTGAGGCTAGCCTGGGCAACACAGCAAATTCAAACAGAGGGGGGTATATCCCACAGCACTGGTCAGGGATGTTTTGCTTTGTTTATTTAATTGATGTAGAGTTTTTTTTTGTTTTTGTTTTTGTTTGTTTGTTTGTTTTTTGTAGGTGTGTGATGTGTGTGGAGAGCGTACGAGCCACGTGCGCCCTCACAGGTTCATGTGGTGGAGGACGACCTCGGTCAGGCCTCGCCTCCCGCCTTGTTTGAGACACGGTCTCTCTCGTTTGCTGCTGTTGTCCTCCGGGCTAGCTGGCCCGCGGGTACCTGGGGGACTCTCTCTGTAGGAGTTGCTGGGGTGACAGGCAGGAGCTTCGGAGCTGGGGTTTATCCGGGTTCTCGGGATTAGAACATGGGCTCGGGGGCTCAACAAGTGTGCTATCCACGGAGCCATCTCCTCGACTCGATGTCATTAACTTTTTAATGTTACGAAGTCTCATTGTGCAGCCCAGGCTCACCCTGAACTTGCGATCCTCCTGCCTCAGCCTCCCCAGTGCTCAGAGTCACTACACCTGGCCTTGACTTCAGGAGAGTTAATGTGCCCAAAGCACATTTAAACCACCATGAGAGAGATTATGGAACACCTCTCTTTAGTTTGGTGGCAGCTATTCCAGGCTAGCCTTCTGCGAGATACGTAGCTGATGGTGACCTCGAAGGTCTGACCACCCCCACCCCCTTCACCCTTTGAGTTCTGGAGTTACAAGAATGCCCCGGGGTGCTGGGAATCAAATCCAGAATCTTGTCTGTGTAGTGCAGTGCTGGGTAAGCTCTGTATCGACTGAGACGCATCCCACCTCCAGAGTCATCCTTTTCTATTTTCTGTTCCTGACTGGCCCCACATCTGACGCTAATATGGACTGGATGTGAAATGTTTCCCATTTGCTCACCCGTTTGAACACGTGGCCCCCAGCTGGCCTGGACCTTCAGG